CCTCATAGGGCACTGTAGCATGTGCAAAAAAAATGGGCACGTTCGGCGGATGCAAAGCGGAGACATGCGACCGAGGGTCCCCTCCGGCCATACCGAAACAACCCCCTTCCACAGCAAGTACCTGAACGGTCTGACGGATTGCACCCAACTTTTGCGAGCGCGTGTGGCGCCCCACCCGGGCACCCCACGGCCAAAATGAACGAAATCCGACAACGAACGCACGTTGCGTCACGTCCGGGCAACATTTTCGGGGTTTTCGGCCCAGAAAATCGTAGAAAATCCATACGGACTCGAAACGGGACAAATTTTTGCGTGCGTGCCCTCATAGGGCACTGTAGCACGTGCAAAAAAAATGGACACGTTTGCTAAGTTAAAAAAATAGCCTATTTGATTAAGCTAAAAATATGGGCATGTTTGGCTACGTTAAAAAAATTGGTTAAGGCAATTTTTTTTGATAATGTGCCTACTTTATTTACTTAAAATAAAAGAGGACCTGTAAAAAAAACGCCGGCCGTCTCGCTAACCGACGTGCTTGTGTGTATGGGGCCGTCCCACTAACAACGACGCCGCAATCAGCGCTTGGGCGACGTCGTTAGCTGACGCGCATGCAAATTTTCCTTGTACGTACAGCCCGTCTCGCCGCCGCCGCGATCTGAACGTGCTGCCGACGTACGCCGTCCGTCGCCCCACACTCCAAAACGGCGCTGGTGCCTCTCCCACCGTCGCCCCACCGTCCAAACGCCATCCGTGCGCCCGCGCCGGCTTGCGTCCCCTGACCCGTCGCCCTCTATACGCCGCCGGTGCCTCCCCCACTGTCGCCGTCGTGTAAGTTTTTTTTCCAGTTGCTTCATACAACGAGGCTCATAGCAGTACGATGGTATGTGACAAAAATCTATTTGATGCAGTATGAATATCGACGGTGTGATTCCATATTCTGTTCAAAAGTGGGTTAGCCTAGTTGACAAACTGTCACCCAGTCAGAAATTCCAGTTTTATGAAACGGATATGCAGGGCATGTTTAGAATACCATCAATAAAGATGCGTGATTTTTTGCTTCACTTTTTACTCCAAGGTTACAATCCGAGTAGCAAAAAATTTATGGTTGAAGAGAGTTCTGGAAGTACTGCTGGAAATAAAGGTCTTATTTCACTAAGGCCTGATGATGTGTACTCCATTTTTGGTTGGAAAAACAATGGAGTGGATGTTTTTGGGTTTCTTAGTACTGAAGGAGCAAAAGCAACCAAAAAAAATACCAGTTAGTTTTGTTAGCAAGAAAAATGGTAAGATCATGATTGATGATCTCATAGAAAAGATTGTGAAGAACAACAGCACTGATGATGACTTTATTCGGATGACATTTCTAGTTCTTTTAGGAACTATAATTGCACCAGTGTCTCATGAATACGTTCCAAAAAAATACTATGCCTTAGTGCAAAATATTAAGTTGATAAGGAAGTTCAACTGGAATGCATTCACTTCACGATTCTGTTTGTCTGTCGGAGATTGGTAAGCTTCTGCAGGACGACCATGTTAGGCAGTGGCCCCAGGGGAACCTCGCCCTTTTGCAAGTACGTTGTATTTATTAATTTGAACACTTTTCTTACAAAATGTCACGGAAAAACATGTAATTTAATTACTTTATGTGTTTTGCAGTACCTATACTGGGAGAAGGTGCAACCAATCACCGGTCCAAAATATGATCCGTTGACATTGTTGAGCCCGCTGATGAGGAACTGGACGGAAGATATGGCTGTGAGAAGAGACAAATATGACTATGAATATGGTCGTGGTGTTGGGATGGTAATCCTAGTAATCATGTTTTTTTTTTACATTTATGAAACAAAGTTAAGTGTGCGTATGGTTTGTATGTATAATTCTCTTGTTGCATTTGTAGATCAATGACAACATTACAGAGGAGTATAGGCTGAAAAAAATTGCAGAAGAAGAAGCTCAAAAAACCAAGAAAGCTAGTAGCAAAAAGTCTAACGTTACTGGAACGAGGAAAGAGGGCAGTACCTCAGAGGCTTCGAGCCAGAAGCCTACTATGGACCGGATTTTGAGTGAGATGAATGAGCTTCGGAAGGAAATGCTTCGTTTGCTAGAGTTATGCGCACAGGTAACACTTGAGCATGTCACTTTAATATCCATCACCGAATTGAAGAACTAAGATGAAATGTTTTCTTGCAGAGGATGATTGAGAAACTGAACAAAACCGACGTCTTCTACAAACCCAGTAACCTGGAAGAGGACGAAGAGAATCTGCACGGAGGCAATAATGAGTCTTCAAATGATGGTAGACGTCCGGAAAAAGAGTTTGTATATAAAAAAGATGATTCAGACCGGTTCCGCACACCTTCCAAAATGAATTTGCAAAAGGATGATGACGGCGGTGATGTAACTTCTCATGGAAACACACATTTTTACTGCACACCTGAGTACTGGGATAGTTTCAAGGGTGATATGGATGATCCTATCCAAGTACCAGAAGTATCAGATGAAAAAGCTGCCACATCTTTAGGGACGGACGAAATCGCATCGCATGCGTCGCTTGGTTCTCAAGGAGTACAAGAGGAAGTGGAGGAGGTTACTGGCAGGCGCAAGCGCAAAGGATCACAACATGTCAAGTCTCCTTATGTGGTCCCTAAACCGAACAA